GAAACACTTCGACACCACCTCATCATATAGCAAACCCGGATCAAACGCCGGAATGGAAGGGTGTGCAACAAAAGTGTCGAGAATTTGAGAGCGAATTACAAGAGAAGAGTGTTTCTTACTTGGCCGTAGAATATTTTTCGAATTGCGCATCCAACTAGGAAAAAAGTCGACGTCATTTATGCGGAATGCAACATGCCCATCACATCTGGGAAACGAACCACTACTCTTTTTGCATGTGCATACAATCTTCACTTCCTTAGTGATTTTTCTATAATTGTGTATGTAATCCCCGATGTTACGATTTCGACACCATACCACTCTCAAGCGTCTGATCAACATCAACTTCCAACCATCCGACACGTCTAATGCTGTGATAACAGATACACACGCTCGTCGAACACTAGCTTTCGAGATCGCATCGTCATACACTATCTTGCAGACCAACCTCTTTCTGACATGCAAACCAAACCTCGATCGAATAACATTCGACAGCAAGCAACGAAGTCGAAACCGAGACCTCTTTTCACTAAAAGTCCTTATAGATGTGTACGCGGCCGAAAATTTTTCCAAACACCAAGTCCTCGGTATGCTCCTACTCTGCGGGTTAGAGAGAAATCCATTAAGCGTAGGCTTAAAAACGAGAGATCTACTTAAAAAAGGCACTACCGCTTCTATCGAGAAAGTCGAGTTGCCCAGCAGCCATCCTCGAGCATGACGGAGTTCAAGACGACCCAGCGCCGATGAAACTATGGTACCTCCATATAAACGTTTCAATACCTTCCATCGATCAATAGTTCTCTCCCCTCCCACACAAGATACTACTATAGAGTGAATTGACTCTAACCGGCAATATTCGAGGATTTTGAGAAAAACATGTTATTCGTTAAAACGGTACATTATTGTGTGTACTATTTTGAAACGAATTTATGACACAGTGTATAGTCTGGTGTAGTATTCCAGATCCGGATACATCCGAACAAGGAGTAAAGCAGCTTTGAGGCGAGGAGCACAGTAAGTACATATATCTGTTGCGCTCCTCTCGCGGTTTGGATGTGTCCAGATGTGGAACACCATAGCAGAGTATATATTGTGTTATACGTCTCTGAGTCAGTACATATATCTGCTACCACTGTGTTATATGTATTGCTACCTCAGTACATATATCTCCTTTGTCCAGATGTGGAACACCAGAACAGAGTAATATATTACACTGTGTCATAGTTTCACTTGGAATTGAGCATCCCACTCATCTGAATCAGAACAATATAATGACACAAACTCGAGTTTGTGAGTAAAACGAGTTGTGGCTCTTCACAGACTTAGAGGAGTAGGATGACCTGTATTTAGAAGTGTGAGGACCAGAATGAATTGGAGTTCTGCACCGATGATCGTGTACATGTATAGAGCGATAGAGATAGAAAGAGAGAGAGAGACAGAAAGAGCGAGAGAGAGAGAGAAACAGAAAGAGCGAGAGACAGAGAGTCTTAGAGAGACTGTACTTAATTTTCAGGAGACGCAGGGTCGAGCACACGCGTAGACCATCAACCTCGTTTTTTAAAGCATTTCAGACGATCGTTGTAGGAGAGCAGCAAGGTAATGTGAATCTCCAAGCTAAGCGAAGCTCGGATGTATCCGAGATCACATGAGATAGACAGACAGAGGAAGTCCGCAAGAAATGATCGTGTACATTTGAAGAGCGAGAGATATAGAAAAAAAGAGAGAGACAGAAAGAGCGAGAGACAGAGTGTCTCAGAGAGACCGTACTTAATTTTCTCGAGACGCCGCACGGACGGCGCAGGGTCGAGCACACGCGGAGATCATCAGCCTCGCTTTTAAAAGCATTTCAGACGATCGTTGCAGAAGAGCAGCAAGGCAATGTGATTTTCCCAGATAACCGAAGTTCGGATATATCCGAGATCACAGGAGATTGACAGAGAGGAAGCCCTCAAGAAATGGCATATTAGCACGCTAGAGGGCTGAGAGATGAAAAAGACAAACACCGTATAGTCACCCACAGCATTTCGTGTCACGAACGTATCCGAAGTGTCGAACTAGTATAGACCCTTCAGTTTGAAGCTTCCCCTGTGCTTTTTGGGACACAATTCAAGAAGTATCTTTTGCGAAACTGAGAGAGAGAAAGAGAGAGAGAGAGAGAGACAAATATTGTACCATCATCCACCACATTTTTGATCCATCCGGAGTGTCTCGGTTGTGAGTCGCTTCGCTGCCATCGAGACAGACCTGACAGAGATAGAAAGAGCGCGTCAGAGAGATGGAGAAGGAGACAGCAACAGAGACAGGGACAGGGACAGAGACAGAGACACAGAGAGAGACAGAGAGAGTGTGGATGATCGCACTGAATTTTCTTTTCATGTCGACATGTGGCACATGAGACGCATGTTCGAGGAACACGCGAAAACCACAAGTGTAGTTGTACAAGAGTTGCAAGGTTTTCGTTAGGCGAGAGTAAGCCAAGTTCGGATGCATCCGAGATGACAGGGGAGAGGGAGTCCGAAGCAAACAGTAAATGAGCGCACTAGACACAGCTATGGGTGTGTGTGTGCGAGAGAGAGAGAGAGAGAGAGAGAGAGAGAGAGAGAGAGAGAGAGAGAGCTGATTCGTGAATTCGTTTTTCGAAAATTGAGGCGTTCACCAATCATACAGTGGTCATTTGTTCATGAGTGCCAGCTCAATTCAGTTTGTGTCACTTTGTAGCATCAATCGGCTTCGCCTTGTGATTTATCCTTCCGTTACCACATCCAATTTTGTCCAATCATGCAATTGTATTTTTAGCCTCGCCACCTTAATTCAAATCTCGTCACATTCGAGCAACCATTGGCGTCGCCTTTTGGGTTTTCCCTCTCGGCACATTCAAATTTTTCATTGTATTGGGTAATGCATAGGAACGGAATGTATGAATGCTCGTGCAGAAGGGGAGCTTTGCCGGGCCAAAGAATTAACAGCATTCAATGTCGGAATCACAAAGCACACAGTGCGGAGGGTCAGACGGGCCATCAAATGTGTAAAGAGGCCCATGTTTTGCATTTTGTTCTCTGTGACGCCTCACAACATTCAAAGTGAAAATGCATAGATGAGTGTAGACGACGGGGGAGGTTCGGGAGAGAGGCAGAAAAGCATAGAGTTAGTTCGAGTCCGGATGCATCCGAGTATGCGGGCAGAACATCACACCACACAAGGCACAAAATGACGAAAGCGAGATATTCAATCACGAAACAGGCGCCCCAACAACGGGGACGTTCGTGATAATTGAAATCCAATGAGAAATAACAATATTGTCGACGACAAACACGCCGGGGACATGACAAGTTCACCCAGAGATTTCCTGGCAGTGACAGTCAGTTCTGCTCTGAACCAAACCGAGAACACCCACCAGTCCCTCACGGAAAAAATGAAAAGGAATAAATTTCGTCCGGAGAAGAACGAAATGTTCTTCTATGTCAACCCTTCTATACTACATGATCAACAAAGAGATAGACGCTTACCTACCAACATCGCAAATCGCCAAAGCTAGTCTAGCTCTGATAGAGGAGATGTGTCTATGGGAGAAACCAAAAGGTGGACGTAAACCTCTCGCCAAACAGGAAGCGAACATCAACATGAACACCCCACAACTAGCCCCGTCGTGCTGCCGAGGGACACCTTTCACACTGACCTCGCGAGCGAAGTGGTCGAAAGTGCGACCATCACCGGCGGCACCTGCCACCGTGTTCAAAAATTTAACAGTTTTATCTAGAAGTGCGGAGTAGAAGGAATCTTTGGATGACGAACACGAGAAAGAATCATAGATTTCCAAAACACGTCTAGAGAAGTTAATGGCCAAAAGGCTCCAGTGTTCGCCGTCCTTGTGCACTGGTGCCAAGACGAGGTCATGAGACAGGAGGTCGACATCTTTAGCCCATCTGAGAACAGCTGCCGGACCTCGCAGAAACAGTGAAGAGGCGAAGAAGGAGTTAAAGGTGTATGTCTTCATGGTAGCGGCAGTCCGGCCGCAGTCGTCTTGTAGCATCGCCATGTAGAAATTAACAACCTCATCGTTGAGCTCCCCGGATCTATCCACGAGTGCGACGATGTCCTTGAGGGATACCTGTAAACTGTGAGACGGCAAAAGCGCGACGATGATAGTGAGCAGCAACCGGGAGCAAATAACGTCTTCAAGGACCGCTCTTCCATCTCGAGGAAACCCTGTTCAACAAACACCCGCAGCACACAGCAAGCACAAAGGACGGTGCACTATGAAAAAATGCCGTTCTAGCGGCCATGGTCCGAGGAACCGCTACTCTGTGGTCCGAAAAGTTCACGCATAACGTCACCCCTACTTCTGGACCTTCTACACACAGTTGATTCTAAACTAGCAATGTCCTTTATATCCCTGCAAGCCTCGAGAAGGAATTCCTTGCAATCTTTTTCGGCAACACCCGCTGCCTCTGCAACGAATCTTGCGCGGGAGCCCAATACAGGCACGACTACCCTTCTGGGAGGGCCTCGAGGCTTAGTGTTCCCAGGGAACGTATTAGTGACATTGCGATGACCAGTGCCTCCTGCAACCAGGACTGAAAACCTGGCGAGGGCAGGCGGCTCCTGCGGCATGGGTGTTTGTCGACAAGTTCGTCGACCTGTACAAGAAATAGCCACCCAGACAGTTCAGCAGGAGATCAACAATACAAGTTCGCAAGAGCAACCAAGCAAACAGTACCTCACGAAGCACATCGTCACAATCCAGTTGGCGGCCGCCTATACACCTCCCCGAAATCGACGAAGCAAACAACACTTCACGAACGGGCTGACGAGCRGGAAGAAAGCAGAGAAAGTCAGTSCTTACCAGRCCTAGCTACCACTTCACCAGAGCCCACCGACGACAGTCCCAGCACGATTGGCACCCCTGCGCGCGTCGACGCGGCGACGACGTGCTCCAAACCCACAGGGAAACTTGATAGGCTCGAGATGTCGGCGTCGATGACCGTAGACGGTATATTCGTCTCCGGACAAAGATCGTCGACGTCCACAGCATCGTCAGGTTGTGTTTTTTCCATTGCCACTGTGTCGTATTATGTTGGGCTCAATGTCCCATGGATGTCTAACAACACCTCTCCCCCCCTTAACTTCTTGTCCCCGTACGCTGTGTCTTTGTCGTCGTCACTCAAATAGAGAAATCTATCTCCAACAGCGTCAGAGGCCTTCTTCAGAACGTCCTTCCCCATCGCCTCGTTGTGAAGGGCGGAGTACAAGGGATCGTCGTATCCCGGCTGAACTGGTAGCTCCATCCCGACGTCGCTGAGTGTCGGATCAATCCGGTCATCGACGGAATTGTCCTTGTCCAAAGTCATCAGTAGTCGACAACCCTGAACGCCTGCCAGTTGAAGTCCTTCGTCCGTGTGCCTCGGATGAATCCGAATCACGGTCGTCTCCAAAGATGCATCAGGGAGGGAGATGTTGACAGGGCCCTGGTTCGGATTCATCCGAGCCCCCGCAGCTTCCAATGACGTCGACATGACCGCTTTCACCGAGAAGTCGCTTACGACTGCTAACTCGGCTCCGAGTGTGTTGGGCTCGACATTGGAACTGGTCGCCAAGTCACCCTCAGTCCGACAGTCCGCCTGCAGCTCCTTGTGGGCTTCCACGCAGAGCATAACTGCATCCTGATACCGATCGTCTGTCATCGCAAACACGGCTTCCTGGTTCGGATGAATCCGAATTTCGTCGCCAGGGTTTTCGGAAACCCGGACCACCCGTTCGAGTTCTGTAGACAGTTGTGCTCCCTCGATGGCACGGCCTTCGCGGTTCGGATTAATCCGAAATTCCTTTTGAGGCGAAACGGAACACGGTTCCAGCTTGTCGCTGCCGGACCCGTGGTATGTTGTCGTCTCGCTTCCCGGAAGGCACTGAGTTCCGGACAACGAGGTCGTCTCTGAGTTTCGGATTGATCCGAGACAATCCGCCAACCGTATTTGGAGCTGAGCGAAGCATGTTCCATGCTTTGCGACACCTGCCCCGCCAACCGCATCGACAAACTGTGTTTCGCTGGTGGAGCTAATCAAAGGGTCTTGCTCGCCAGGCCGTGTAATACACCCAGGCCTCAAGTCGTTCCCCGTCTCCATTGAGGTGCTGCCTGTTACCGCCAGAACCCCACCGTCCTCGTCGCGGTCGCCATCGGACCCCTGGCCGTCTCCTCTGTGATGCTTTGTCTTCTCTCCGCTGCGAGGCTTCTTCTTTTCTCGGCTCCCCTTTCTCCCCTCTCCGCCGCCTGCGTGCCCCGGAGACCGTTGTTTCGTCGATCGCTGTTCACTTCCAACTTTGGTACCTCGTTGCCCGCCGCCTTCACCATCCCCGTCGTCGTCCTTTCCGCGAGACTTGCGCTTCACAACTCCTGCCGGTGGGGTGACCCCAGGCAATTCCCAACTCACTTGCTTAATTGACGGGCTTGACGGAAGGGCGTAGAACGCGGAGGACACTTCTAGCCATTTATTTGACTGCAAGAACTCGAACAGCGTGTCCCCGTATTCGCGAAGAGCAGGGTCGTCCTTATTTTGTCGATTGACCTCACTTAATCTCTCCAATACCGCATCGTAGGCGCGAGATTTGAATGTCTCGAGGTCCCAACGATCGTCATATATCCACCCTCCACTTACGTCCCTCACAGCCACTGCCCATTCGTCGTCGAGAAGGACTGGCTGGAAATGGTCCGGTTGCCACATGATATCATGGCCCCAATCTTCGGCTGTGGAGAAGGTGTGTTTGTCGCCCATGTGGAAGGGAGTCGCAGGAGCCTTGAGATGCGGATGGTCCGGAGGAACTGGATGGCCGGGTCGAAGACGTTCGGGCTGTGGCGTGAGACGAATAGGCTCCCCCGGCGAACTCCTCAGACGGGACAACCCACCCCTCTTGACAGGCGCTGAGGAGGACACGGGCGTGGGACGCCCGAGGTAGGTGTAGCGAGAGGTGTCCCTGGTTTGCATACTAATGGCGACTCAGAAACTTGGGCGTTGAAGATGGCCAATTGCCCGTCCAAATCGAAGAGGTCGTCCTCAACGTTTTCCTCCTGCTCAGTCTCGATATTGAAGTCGTCCTCCTCACCGAATGCCAGCTTGTACTTATCCAAAGTGAATTCGGCCGGATCGACAACATCCTCGTTAAAAAAAACATATTCCAGCCTCTTAATGAAGCTCACAGCGCCGGCCCGACTCACTCCATGGTAGCCCTGGAGGACCGCAATGGCGACTTCCTTCCGCACCACGTACTGCGGGTCAAATCTCAACCTTGGTTGTTCGCCGTAAAGGAAGGAGTAGACCTGGCGCCTTTTCTTCGGAGTCAACTTGAAGAACATGTCCTTGTTCGGGTCATAAACGGGCTCGACCACGACATGGTGGAAATCGCATGGGTAAGCTTTGGACGACACTTCATGGGTGACTTACTGCACGGTGTATTCGAGCTACGTTGTGTCCCCATCCACGGCCAAGACGTGCCTTCCCTGCTGAAGCAGACTCCACACCACCTGCGAGTGCGGCTTGCCCAAGAACAGCACGGCATCTGCCACACCACAGAAGAAAAGAGGCTGATTGCACAACTGATTCGGATTTCGCTCGCCGTCCTTGTACAGAGCCCCCCTTTGGGTCAGGTTTCCGATGTCCGCGAAAGTCAAAGACTTGAAAGACTTCTCCTCCACATCCGTGGGTGTCACTTTCTGTTTCCTCCGGAGAGCGGTGGCGTCGTCTTCAGCAACAGCTCCCTCGTACACCGGGTGAGTCAGTAGCCGAGGATCCTCGCCTTTGAAAAGGATGTGCATCACATCCGGCTCCTCCCAGACGCTGTTTCCGAACTGATGCGTCTTCTTCGATGTCGTCTTCCGAACCCACTTCCCCGTGTAGCATCGGKTAGCCCCAAGCGYAGACAAACATGTCATGAAGGAGAGGTTCCACAGGCAGGGGACGAATACCACCAATGTCCAGTAGTCCTGACAAACGAAGCCCARCAACTYACTCAGAGACGCGAATGCCCCAGARTCCYATTGCGCAYGGTCCACAGCACCGCATAAGTCGAGCACGCAAGTGTGGGAGCGTAGCTGATGCCCCAGTTTTCCCAGCGCCTGCTTATGATCTATGGCACTCAACGGGTCGATGTTAAACTGGGTCAGCGTCGTCAAGGCACTTGTCCTTGTCCACATAATGTTGATGCATTCATCAACGCCACGGGGGCTTTTTTTGCCTTTGGCGCGATCTCCAGTGATTACCGAAAGGACGACATGCTTCCACTCCGCCGGGAAATGCTGGTCGTTGACGAGGGCCGTCATTTTCTTGATGTTGTTGTCGTGTTGACACCCGAGAAACTGAGGGCACTTGTTGACATATGTGGTGTCCGTGAAAAATTTCCTGCTCTCGTTCCAAAGCTTGTCGTCGAGACCTCTGTCCTTGAACTCTTCGAACAGTTGCTTCTTGGACCTGAAGAACGTGGAGTTGGCATTCCACTCCCCCTTATCCATTTCCTCATACTCGAACTCCACGTAGTGCCACAGCCTCAGCATAATCCGGTCCATTTTTATTATGTCGACCATCTCCTTGACACTGAACTTCCCCTGCTCGGCCAACTTTTTGCTACTCGTTTGAACCCACACGACGTTAAGGTTCAAGACGCCGTTCAACAGTCTTTTCTTCTCGCGGTCCGTCAAGTCCACCAATTCCTTCCAGCAGTGGACATACGGCTCTGGAACTTGGACGTATAAAGTTTTCTCCTCCACGCCTTTCTTTGGCTTCCCCCTGCCCTTTTTCAACGACGGGTCGTCCACCTTCACATTGTCGGGCGGCCACAGGCAGTGGGCCACCCTTCGTTAGCGGTGTTGAGTCTTCGACCCGATGACTAGACCGTATTTTTACGGTACTCTTGTTTGACTTGACGGGGAAAATCAGGGGTACCTAGAACACCCCCAAATTTGGGTGTGCTGACCACTGAGAGTAACCCTCAAATTAACGAGGGGATTTACCGCTTCTACCACACTGTGCCCCACCTCTTTTTCGCTTGTTCCGAGTCTATTCCCGAAGCAGCTAGCCGCGGGATGGGAATACGGGAGTAAGCCTTGGCACGACCCTTTCATCTTGCATTATTGGTGCGGGAATGATACCTCGAATTTCCTTAATCTTAACATCGAAATTAAAAATGGAAGAAAAAGTTGAAAACAATAGATGGGAAGAGAAAACGGTTTCCTTATACTATTAAATTTCCTCGGTATTTAATTTTAACGGGGTCGCCCTCATTAGTCATTATTTTCGATAATAGAATTAAGAAGGAGGAAAATAATTAAAAATAATAAAAGAGAGAAGAACGAATGATTGCTTATTATTTGATCAATTTTAACGACGTTTATTTGTGATGAGTTTAACTAGGAATTATTCATTCACCATGATGTCATCTGTTTGTACGGACTTCCGATAATTATAAATTCACGTGTAATTTTTCCCCGATTCAACTGATTATTACTTTAGTTATAACTCGGGTGTAATTCTCGAGCGTTGAGCGGTACCAGTTTCGGGGTTGCTATAACATGGTCGGATCGCTGCGGCTATCGATTCCATTTTGGGACGGGGCACGCGACATTATTATCTTGGTACGGTACACTGGTTCGGTATGGTCACGGCACTTTTGCTGCACTTTACGGCGTCCGGCGTTGGGCTGGTATGGTAATGGGACTGGCGAATGCCGCTTTGGCCAGCTCGGCCATTTTGGTACGGTAATTGTGACTTCTTGGTTCGGTACAGGGATGACACCGGGGCAGCGTACTGCAGCCTGCTCCTAATTCTTATGGCTCGGTAACTGGTACGGTACTAAGCGGAGCTGCAACTCGACCTATTCATTTCTTCTCTTCGGGCCCAGCGCTGGTGACACTCATGGCGGTCTGGTATTATCATATTCGGTCCGGTCCAAAACTGGTATGGTTCAGCTATCTTCGGCACTGCTGCTCGCTGCGAGTTGGTATCATTAACATTGGTGCTACGGCCTGGTACCTGGGTCCTGCTACTGGGCCTGTGGGCCTGAGACATGCCACCGTTCCATTAGAGATTGGGTGGCATGTGTGGGATAAACGACAGACCAGCTAAAGGATTGGGACATTCAGGCGAAGATAGTCTCTCGTGGCATGCAAGGTGTACCCCGCCCACGTCGCAGATACGGATGAAGTCAACGAGCATCTGGACATGGAGACGGGGGGGAGCTTTTCCGAAGCATGCACGGTGTACACAGCCCACCGCTGCCAACGCTGGTTGAAGTCAATAGACACGGATAGTGAACGGCGACGAGCGCAGCGAACGTACCTGTTCGCAAAGCACAGTGGTTCCCTGCTGCTCACGGTCAACGGTAGCTATGGCGGCAGTGTGTGTGTGTGTGAAAGAGAGCGGGAGTGAGAGGGAGAGAGAGTGAGCCAAAGAGACTGTGTGTGCGAGAGAGGGAGAGTGAGAGGAAGAGGCTGTGCGTGTGAGAGAGAGAGAGAGAGTGAGAGAGAGGGACCGTGCAGTGTGAGAGAGAGGGACTGTGCAGTGTGAGAGGAAKAGATTGTGCAGTGTGTGAGGGAGAGAGTCAGCGAGAGAGAGAGATTGCGCTGTGAGATAGAGAGACTGCGCGGTGAGAAAGAGAGAGAGTGCGSAGATTGAGAGRGAGGGGGTGTGCTGAATGAGAGACGAAGAATACTCTACTTCAGGGAGAGGAAGGGCGCTGAGAGTGAGTGAGTGGGTGCTCTGATTGAAAGAGRGTGGCCACGTTGTGAGTCTACCAAAGAGAGACACTGAGAGACAKGATCTGGTCTCTCTCCAAAGGAGGGAGCAGCCACCTGTCGATGAGACCTGCTTCAAGTTCTTACCGCAGTTGAAGAGACCAGCGTCAAGCACTCACCGCTCCTGATGCGACCAGCTTCAGAAGCACTACCGCAGCTGATGAGACCAGCGCCGGGCACTTTGATGAGACCAGCTTCAAGTTCTTACCGCTGTTGATGAGGCCAGCGTCAAGCACTCACCGCTGCTGATGAGACCAGYGTCACGCACTTACCGYTGTTAATGGGACCAGCTTCARCCTCTTACCCCTGTTGATGAGGCCTGCAACAGCCTCTTRCAACTGTTGATGGGTCCTGCTAAATGGATGGGGGAACCTGGCCTCAAGTGAACAGTCTTCAGCTCGAACGCCACCATGGCTGCGTAAGAAGTCTGAATCAACTGCATGAACAACGGTTGTTGCTATTCAATCAAGATGTGCATTTCCTTCAAAAAAATAATAACAATAATAAATTAAAAAAGAATAAAGGGAGTCAGATCTTATAAAGAGAGAGGGACACTGCAGAGAGATAGAGGGAGAGATAGAAAGAGAGAGAGAGTAATCAAGCACGAAGTGGGGGAGAGCTGAGTGGGTGAGGGAAAGACTGAACAGCGAAATCTTATTCCCACTCTCTTATCTGGATCTGTGGGATTCGGAGGGATCAACCAACGAAGAACAGAGAGTGTCGTCCCCACTGGAGAACCTTTCTGACCAACGAGTAAGGTTGGACTAGTTTTTTAGCATGCCATTATGACATGATGATGAGGCATCGACCAGCTTCCTCCACTGCCRGCTCCTATTGCAGATCAGACCGCATACCYCCAAGGGGGACTTGAARACGYAGGTTCTGACCRCACGGATTTCGATTYCGTGTCCAAACAGACATAACGCCAGAAGAACATAGAAGGAGGGAAAGAGGGGGAGACTGTGCACGCCCAAAGAGAGAGAGACTGCAGTTAGAGAGGAAGACTGCAGAGAGGGAGAGAGAGAGGGAGAGAGTTCTCTGCTCAGCGAGAAAAGGGGGGGGGAACTTGAGAGCACTGCAGGAACTCAACAATGTTGATGACGCGAAGGCTGCAATAGACCCCATCCTCCATTGATGAACACTTCACAAGTTTTTGGGCGGATTTTCACCCCCCCCCCCTTTCGATTAAGGGTCATCTCTCTCAACACAAACTCCTAATTAAAGATCAGACCATGCACGGCCCAATAAGCCTTCAACATGAGTGATTTGACCGTTCGGATCTTGATGGTTCGAACATTTGAACATAACGAAGTAAAACGAAAAGGGGAAAATCGTCACCAGCATGCTCTACAGGAAGTGCAGTGGGGTAACGGCTGAAGGAGACTGTTATGGTTTTCTCAATCAGACGGTACTGATGAGGCTCTATGGTGAAACGTCTCTCCACCATCATTCAGCTGTTAATTAGCTGCAGGAAGTTGTCTCCTGATATTTTTCCGTCCACCACAATTTCATATACATATTATAACATATATAGTTTTATAATAATTTTATTATTATATGCCGCCCCTGGGTTCTGTCACTCTATTTCTGTTGAAAAAGGAAGCTTCAGTCGGAGCGGGAACCAGAAACGTTCCTTTGATATCATAGCGCCTGCGAATGGGCAACAGGTCAATGCCCTTAGGAGTGTAACGGCCCAATGCGCAGAGTTAACTCATCAATGTGGTCCATCCATATAGAGGGAAGAACAAAGTGGGAGAAACAATCATGCATCAATTAGTAGTCTAAGAGACAAACAAAGAAAAAATCTAAGATGCCGATCGAAGGAAACAAAGGCGACTTGCGTCATTCTCCCGCCAGATACCAAAATTGCTTGGAATGAAAGAAGAAGAAGAAAAAATGGCCTACACGCCTGGTTGCAATGCTTGTGCTCGCTCTAACTTTTTGAATGACTGAGTTTCCGCCTCACCCCACAGCATGAATATTGAACTCCCTTTTCGTATTACTGACCGTGAGTGTCTAAGGGATCCGGAATTTCCGGGAGCATCGGGAGCACGTGTGTCTATCTGCGCGACCGAGGGGAAAACTTCCTAAATTTCCATTCCCGGTGGGAAACGAACGTATCTGCGAGTGGGACACCGACCGAGCTCGAGAGCGCATTCCCCACTGCCCATAATTCCCCAGCTCGTACACGTGTCACCTTGTCGCAGAACCGGGAGTAATTATTCTGGAAACTGACTTCCCTCCCTACCATTGCATACGGCCCTTCCATTCGCTGACCATCATCCCCTGGCGCGCAATCGCTCTGTATTGGCCCCAACCCCCGTGTTCGGAGTGCTTGCAAGACCGCGAGTACTGAGCCTCCGGTTTCATCCGGCGAACTCCCTCGGAGGAAGAACGACGGGCGCACAACCTTCGTCTAAGGTCAGCCGCGTCGGATTCTGAGACCAGCGACGCACGACGCCAACAAGTGGTCAGATAGTGCGATAGCCATAGCGTCCCGACCGTGCACCAAATACGAGTCCGACCCAGACGACGGAACCAGCAGAGATGGTAGCCCCACGCTCAGAAGCATAGAAACAGACTTCGACCCGCGCCTATCCTCTTGCATTCCTATCTTTGAAACTTGTCACAGGGAGATCTCAGTTCCGACCTGAGACTCCACCCCCACTTTCCCAAAAATCCTTGGCACACCCCTTTTCGCACTTCCAGGCCCACTCACACTCCGATCAGGAATTCGCGTCGGGCGGGAGGTTGGTATTGGAGCCGACACGTGGCAGGCCTAGAGATTGCCAATCAGGTAGGATACAAGGGACGACCTGGCGAACAGGGGGCGTCCTA